TACTTTAAGAGGTGTTAGCCTCAGGGGTAGCTATATTCCAGAAAACACGGTTAATTTACCGTCAGCTAAACCCTGAACTTTCGGTTGATTAACCCCAAACCTTGCTTACTCCAAGGTATGTGGTTCCCAAAAATGCATCTGGGAGTAAGTTCATTCAACTCAGAGTATGTTCCTGGTTAAGACTCAAGACTTTCTCAACAGAGCTACGAATTCTTCTTTTGTTCAATGGTCGTTTACGTGCTTAGTGCATATCGCCACCCAACTGATGGTTGTGCAATCATTTTATTTTTTTTCCCCGTTTAATCTTTAATCCTTGAGAATATGAATTTGTTTGATGCTAATTATATATTAAGTCATATCAGATATGTATTTTGATTTAGAATTTAGACATTATAGAAAATGCAGATCCATGTGTGAGATGATCATATAAAATGTAATAAATGAATATATATAATATAATCAATTAAACATTACCTGCAATATAACAGAGTGAAAAATTTAAGGGGGTCTGAATACTTTCCGTACCCACTGTGTGTGTGTGTATATATATATATATATATAAAATAGGCTATATTACATATTGTAATATTATATAATGTTTTGCGCTATCTGTCACGCCCACTGAAGGCTCGTCAGTAGATCACACGTGCGCTGAAGTGAACTAACCCTGGAACATAAGCTGCTCCGGAGCAGGTTATCTTCACAGAGCAAGTTACTATGGTTACTTACATACCCTGAAAGTAACCTCCGATTTTGGAACCGAAAGCTGAGGTTATCCTCTCGCTTATCCTCAAACATACCCGGTCACAATAACCTGCTTTTTGGAATACCCCCAGGTGAGCAAAGCAGTACAGATGTATCTTAACCAGAGACGAAATTATGTTGTTGTAGGCTAACTGAAGAAAGTTAGCCATAATGTCTGTGATTTGTTAGTTCCCCTGATTTGAAATGAATAAACATTTTTAAAAAGGACATTTGACACTATCCTGTTTTCATAGTAATTTTGAGTTTTTTTGTTTGTTTTTAGTGCTGGAAAGTAAGTTAACCTATCATAAGTAACGCATCACTGTAGCGCCATTTTGGAGAATATGCGCTGAACGCAAGCAGCGTACGCTATTCTGTGTCAGCCGTGCTGCACGGATGCGCTGTTTTCGTTCAAATGAAAGCGTAAATACACGTAGAAAATGTATCCTTGTGTCACGGTTGACGCAGAATAGCGTACGCTGCTTGCGTTCAGCGGATATTCTCCAAAATGGCGCTTTGGTGATGTGGAGAGACACAAAGGAGACAAATAGTTGAATAAATTCGTTATTTTTGTTTTCTTCGAGTACAAAAAGTATTCTCGTCGCTTCATAACGTTACGGTTGAACCACTGATGGCAGATGAACTATTCTGACGATGTCTTTCATACTTTTCTGGACCTCGACAGTGTAATTTACTTGGCAGTCAATGGGACAGTCACAAGCCTCCCGGTTTTCATCCAAAATATCTTAAATTGTGTTCCGAAGACGAACAAAGCTTTTACGAGTTTGAAACGACATGGGGGTAAGTGATTAAAGACAAAATTTTCATTTTGGGGTAGAGTATCCCTTTAATGGGTTCCAATGATGTTTTGGACAATGAATTGTCTTTCATTTTATGTACAAAAGTAGTTGAAACATTCTTCAAAAATATCGTCTTTTGTGTTCTGTAGAAGAAAGAGACAGTTTGTATTGGCATTGTTACAAACCCTGGCTTGAAGGGAACCAACAAAAGGAGGAACACACGAAAGCATAAGGCTCAATAGGAAAAGGCTTTATTAAGCTCAAAAGTAAATCACTATAATAGAACAAAACACAACAGAAAAGATCATATTTCTGAAAACGTCAGCATCATCAGTGTGTAAAGCGGGGTGCCTGGCTGTTGGTGCAATGTGCTGTTGTAGCAATGTAAAAGTGCTCAAAACAATACAAATCAAACCAAACACAACCCAATATCCCAAGTCCAAGACTCCTTTGTTTCTGCTAGTATCTCCTTTAAAGGAGAACCACAGTGGCAGGTGTTGAGGTGAGTCGTAGGCGGAGCTACAAATCACAAATCGCCCCAAATTCAAACAACGGGAACCATCACAGCATATTGTTATATTAATTATGCTTTAACATTTTTTTTACCTGCACTATAGGCTTAAGTCTTGAAGTTGTTCACGATCCATAAGTTGATGCTGCTGTAGATTTGTATTTTGAAAAGGTTTCAAGCGGTCTCTGGTTCTCTTGCTTCCAAGAACATACTCCTTAGATACTTCTTTGAATTCAGTTTTAAGTCTTTCCAATTGAAGGAGCAACAACTGCAGTTCTATCAAGTACCTCACTATGATCAGTAGACCATTCAACAGAGCAGATGAGGGTAAAAGTCTGACAATGTGTGTGATTCGTCTCAATGAACTTCACCACTGTATGATTCTGGATCTTTTATTCAGCACTGTGCAACGGCAACCATTATGGGATTTTTAACTTTTTTCTAAATAAAGAATGTAATATTTATTAACATATCATGTTTATCTTGAACTGAATATTTATGTCTAAATCCATTATTGTAGTAAAGGATCTGTAGATGAGAAAGTGCGTAATATCAGAACTGGAGACTCTGCTGGTTTCAATAATAACCAATTTACATTAAAACTACAGTTTATGGACACATTTTGACCCAGATCTGTTAGCTAATCTGATACAGTCTCTGCTGCTCCACACTGTACGAGCAGATCTGAAGTACAACACACACACACAAAGCAATCTGCATTAGAATTGTCATAAACCATCATAAATGTATTGATTTATTATTTATTATTAATTAATTATACTATTGTATATATTCATGAAGTACTCCGAGAAGCAGCAGCATGGACTGCAGGATGTTAAAACACTTCAGCATGATTCAGTCTCGTTTCTTTCACACAACTATAGAGATGAAACTTTACCCCAGAACTTTCAAGCTAAAGGGGTGATTCCCACAAGAGGAAGTTAAGGGAGGTTTGCTCCAACCACATGTCTATATTTGTTCAAAACCCAACCATTGACATGTATAATCTTCAGAAATTAAAAGTATTAATGCCATATTTCATACTAAACAGCAATGTGACCCAAGATAACACTAATTTGATATTCAACTAGGCTAATATTTAATTACGCTCTTGGCAGTCAGTCATTTGCATTTTTCCTCAAAGCGTATTTAAATTAGTCTGGATTCTATTGCTTTTATTTTGTGTAGTTTTATTCATTATTTTTTCTTTCTCTTTGGAGTCGAATGATTTACCACATATACCAGCAGGAGCTAACAGGACATGCTAACAGTTTCTTGTTTCCTCCTGAAATATTTGTTTGGTTTGAGGAGATTTTTAGAGTAGAACAGAACAGAAAGTGTGAAACTCAGGTGTATTTCAAATACATTTGTCTAAATTGTTTCCTGTAATGTTTGGTTAGTTTAAACCACTTGATGCATGCAGGTGTTTATGATGTCCGGTGTCAAGTGTTGTTGTGGGCAGAGCAGAGGCAAAGACTCAAATGCAGAGTTAGATAAGCTTTATTGAAGTCCAAAAAACAAGACAAAAACAAAAACCTACCCCATAGGGGTGAGCGCAGCCACATGCAGTCTAGAGCACTGTACTGTTGGATAACAAGCCAATTGTTTAGCTGGCGAAACATTTTTACAAAAAAACTTTCAGTAAACAAATGTTTTTTTATATATTGCATGTGATCTAGGACCTTTACAGTGCATGCCATTAAAATGACTGTATGTCTATGCCTTGCAGCTTTGCTTTCATATGCATAAAAGTGAACATCACATCTACCCTGGTCTACTTGAAATGCACTTATTGAGAGAGCTGTCAGTCAAGTGACCAAACTGTGGAAGAGTTCATTTGCAAAAACCCACACTGTTTGTTAACCACAAAGAAGAGCTGTGCAGAAGTTGGACTTTTTTTTACACATACAAAAATACTCAAAACTATTAATAAGAGCATCAAAAAATCTCTTTAGTACATACATTAAAAGCTGTTCCTGTGATTTCCAGCTGTACGTGAAATCTTTATGAAACACAAAACATTAGCTGAAAGCAGAAAACCTTAATGAAATCAGCTGAATTGTGAAAAACAATGCAAGGAAGGAATTTGTATCTTCGTAACTGCTAGCTGATGTGTTGTATTGTACAAGATTAAGGATTATTCATTGCATGATGTTTCATGAAACTTGTTGAGACGCTGCTTCAGCTCCAAGAAACCTCATTACCCTGTGGTTTACATGCAACTCACTGCTAGTTTGAAGCAAGAGCTGTAAAAGCAAGATCTCCATTCAAAACAAGAGCATTTCATAACAGACAAGAGCATTACATCTACCAAAATGCATTTCTGCTTATAACAATTCACATAGCAGCAAACATATACACGGTAACAAACAAAACACATACAAAATACTCTTGTAATGAGAGCACAGTACAACCTTCGTTAAACCACAAGTCAAAAAAATGTTTTTAAACTTGAACCATTACACTTTACAATTACTGAGAAACAACTCTTGTGACCACTGCCTTCTGTGCCAAAGTCAGAAAAATCAGTAGGAATATTAATTATACTTTTCATGTGGAACTTTAAAAGTTCAAGTAATGTGACAAATCACCACAGAATTGATCCTTGAACTATCTGGATTCATACAAATGCAAGTTTCCCCTGCACCAAATATTTGTATATGAAGCTTTTAAGTCCAGTATTCTTGTCGACAGATTTAGCTCAACTTTGTTTCAAATCTGATCTCAATTCATCTTTCTGTTCAATGCTCTGCAACTTGATATGAATATTAAACAACAGCAGTCAAACGCTTAGACACATTCACTTATTTATTTAGCTATTTTAAACATTTTACAATAATGTGCTACAATAAATTCAAACTATAAAATTCCACAAATGGAAGTACAGAAATGTTGAATAAACTTCAATATATGTTTTTATATTTCAATTATGTTTATAATTTATATTACTTCTTAATTGTTATTGGCTGTAGAAGAGAGTAGATGCTCTGCTCCTGGCAAGGCCTGTTTTCACTGGGGTTGGGGTGCATGTTAAAATCAACTTCAGCATACTAAAAGATTAAGATATTAGCAATGAATGTAGGGAATAGTGTACAGTCAGCCAGTAATGACCAGAAAATAAACGCTCACAGGGTGATCTGAACCGGACATGTAGCAGAGGGGTCTTGTATCATTCTGAATGGGTTTATTTTGCAACAATCACAGAACATCTTACCAAATAAATGAATAAATGGACGATTTGACAAATTACTTATGATTATCTGACAAAGAGGGCACCAAATCATATGAGAGACATGAAAATAGCGACAGGGTTATTTTAGTATCAAGATATTGTAGCTTTTATTAATTGTTTGAATTAGTTTTTATTTTTGTATTATTCATTTTAATTTTAATGTTAGTTAATGCATTGTATCTTTTAGTATTTGTCATCATTATTATTATTATTATTAGTAGTAGTAGTAGTAGTAGTATGTCTATATAGTACATCAAGTTAAAGGAAAATGAGAAATATTTTCTTGGCAACTAGCTGAAATAAAATAAGTTTAAGTTTATGTATAATTTATTTCAGTTAATGTTTATTTTAACAAACATTAACAAAATAAGCAACAAAATAAAGGTTTTAGATTACTATAGTAGAAGTTTTATTTTACTATAATAACCCTGACTAGTGCAATGTACAACAGTCAAATATATATTTTAGTGGTTATTACATACAATTATTTGACTACAGAATGTCACAACTGACCAATCAGTATTGCAGAAAACCTCATAAGACTACATGCATGTTATTGTTATTTTAGTGCGACACAATTCAGATAATTCAAATATTAGCTCTTGAATATATTATTTAAAAAGAGCTAATTAAGCTCATTAAGCTCAATAGTCTTACCTGTGAGCCATTTGAGTATTGGGCTGTTGTGGTACTTTGATGGTTCTCTGAACTATTTTTAAATCTTCTTGACTGAAGGTAGCTCTTTCCCAAACCTGAAATTACAGTAAATGAAGCATTAATGTATCATAACAACTTGTGACAGTTAAAAAACGACAACAAACAAAAACAATCTAAAGAAGTACAGGAACATTTGTATAGATTTAGAGTTTGTCTATAGTACGTTCAAAGAGACCTTCACCTAAACATAGATTAAAAAAAGACAAACCTATTACTGCAATGATCAAAAGCACATTGAACAGGGCAGATGTGATGGTCAGGTTTCTCCATGGTATCCCCTGTTGTGGAGCATCATTTGATTTTGTCTGATTCACATGAACTGAATCTGTAAAATGGATAGATTTTAATTCAATGATGAATTAAATTATTCTTCACTCAAGTTAAGTCTTTAACAAAACAATGAAAGTCAAATTTTTAAATTATGTTTAACACAGTATATATTTAACATAGAGCACAAATCAATCATATAGATTTAAAATATATGAAATAGAAAATAACTCACCGCTGATGTAGATTTTTGTGCCGTTGCTGAATTTTAGTGGTTCACTAGTTTTGACACAATAATAAACTCCTAATTCATCAGTGCTGATATTTCTGATGAGCAGACTGCTGTTAGTTTTCACTGAGTATTTGTGTGTTAAATTGCTGTTTTCATATTCAGCTCCTTCGTATGTGCTATCAAAAGTGCGTAAGATGAACACTGGAGGATCCAGTAGTTTCTGTCTGTACCAGTAAATCTCCTCTATATCAAGATCACAGCTTATAATCACATCAGCTCCTAAAGTTACTGCTATGTTTGTTAGACTCTCTGAGGCTTGAGACCACATCAACAGATCTATGAGAGAAAGAAACATATTTACTAATCTTAATAAATAACCCAGCTTAATCAAATCTAATGTGATAGACTCACAGATCTGAAGCTGTATGATCTTCATTGTCTGATTCAGATGGATACCTTCTATACTGTGAGTGTGCTCATTCAAACATCCCGTATACCGTGAGCGGAAACACTACTGAGCTTTACTCGACCACACAGACCAGAGGGGAAGTCAAAGATGAACATGTTCACACAGCACTTTTATTTATTCATTGCTTTTTCCAGTTAAATTAACATCATATGGGGGCAGGCTGGAGCCAGTTGTACTTTAAAGACATATCTAAAATTGATCAAAATACCCTTTGTACAACTATGCATTGACATTTTTTGAACAAGACAACCAAAGACTGAACAACAGGAAAAATAAGCAGAAAATAGTTTGAACTAAACATGAATCCGTAGCTACTATTTGGGTTTTTCTCAAACACTTGGGAAGCTACAAATTCACTAATGTAGAACACTACATTTCAACTATAAGACAAACAGCCACACAAAGGATGGCATAAGAGCCTACTGTTTTGCATATATTTTAATGATCTATAGAACACCAGCTCATTGTAGAATGGAAAAATATTGGAGTGGTTTGATAGAAATGTGCAGTTATGTATATACTTTAGCCAAAATCACAATATCATTGACCACATATTCAAATCAGGGGTTGTGAGAAAATCTGTGCATTTGCAGTTTGGGGTCCCACCAGCAGGTGCTACCAAAGAACATGTCTAAACTGTGTATAAAATGATGTACCTTACACATACTGTTACTAATAATATACATGAAGGCACACGTTATTACAAAGAAAAATAATGTTGTAGTTTTTGCAATCTTTCATGCTCAACCTCTAAAACAACTTTTCTTGTCAACTATAAATCCTATAAAATTCCTGTCTCCTTCAACATGATTTCATTCTGTAACACCCACTTTTTGCAGTAAATGTTTCTCAATGAATATAATTTCAGATGGAATGCCATACTGAATGTGAAATAATTGTATGTTGACAATAATGCAAGTGGTGGAAAGGCAACACCACAAAACAAACAAGGTTTTAGTGACTGAAATTCATATTTGTTGGCTTTATACAGCTGCCAGTCAAATTTTCTGCAACCCCTCCAAATGGATGTAGCAATTACAATTTTCCATTTAATGTCAAAATATATCAGTTTGTGCAGATCTGAATTGAGAACACCACTGATTTTTTTTTCTAAATACATCTCTTTATTTTTAATGGTTTAGCAGATTGTTACAAAAATCCATACTCTTAAAATAAAATGACTTGGGTGTTCAATAATACTACTGGCAATTTGACCAAATTACTTCATGATATGAATTACTTCACGATACTTCAAGATAAGAGTAATTTTATTATATGTATGATAATATAGATATTTGACAGTAGCATTCAGGTACAAAATACTACAGAAATTAAATCAAATGTAAACAAAACACTGCATAACTTGTTTTTAAATCTCTGGGGGGTTTTACCCCCCCAAAAGTTGTGTAGCTGTAAATTTGTGTTTATATGACCACTGAAATGCAAAAAGCTGTGAAATACAACTGAATTCGGGATTGCGTCTGAAAGCTTTCCGTGCGGTCTGTGTGTGCCAAATGAATAATGTAAATTAGTCTGTGTCAGTCAGTGCAGGTACAGAAAATGCTTTTTTTCTTTTTGCTGTAATGTTTCAAAAACTGCGCTGACATTATATCTATCTCTGCAATAAATGGATTATGTTCCTATATTGTAACTATGTCGTATTGTAATTGTAAACCTAACACTGCACTTGATACAGAGACAAAACCAGCAAACCAAGTGTAACAGCAAATACAATATAAAACGATGAAAGTAGTGGAAGCAGCCAAGAACACTAACGGCAAAAACACTGATGAAAATTGACGTGAAGAAACTGATATGACACAGTCATGGTGGTGATTTCAAGTTTAGTAAAAATATCTAATTTTGTTTAAGAGTTATAGCCATTTTATTAAAATGCACAATAAAAAAACACTGAAATAGAAACCTGAGTGGTCAATTTTTTATTTCAGTGTTTTTGTTTTGTTTGGTTTTACCTAGAATCAATTGGCTGAAGTAGTTTATGCAATAAATAAAAAAATAAATTAATTAATTAATTTAAAAAAAATGCATTTTTGGTGTTGTGTATACTCAACATTTCTCTACATGTACATGACTACCGTGAACATGTGTCAACAACATCAAAAGCATTGGTAGATACTGATATTGGTATTGAACATGAAAAAGTGATCCCCATCCCTAGGTAATGTTCAGAATAATAAGAACACTAGGGGCATTCTGTGTCAACTCAACCAGAGGTCCCTGGCTCAAATTTGTGATTTTGCTAATATTTTTTCTGAAGAAAGACAGACATGTATAGTGATGAAAGTCAACATATTAAATGTCATGGATGAACATTTACTGACTAATCTATTTTGTAGAGGAGGGTCAAAATGGCAATTTTTACTTGAGATTCAGAGCCAAATTACAAGGGGATAAACATTACTTCAGAAAAAATTTATTTTTACCCAGACAATGGTAGGTAGGTCTGTTAAAATTCCAATTCCAAATTGTGCATGCCTATAACATACATTTTTAGCACTCCAACAGGTATGTTCTATACAATTGTTTTGACAGAGGGAAACAAGATGCATTCCTAGTTTAAACATTACTTATTCTTCAGACATTCTGCTTTAAATATAGTATTAGTTCTATGCAAAGTGACCAACATTTGGTATTCAACCAAGTAATACTCAACAATATGAAGATGAAAATGAATTCAGATCCCCATACCTTTGGGACTGAATGATGTAGGGCCTTGAAAATAAGAAAAGAAAAAGTTTATTGAGAACTAGAATTTCATATCATATTGCGATATCTTTAATACTTCTTGAGTTATAGGAACACAAACTTTGGAAAAGGAATATTTATGGAACTCAGACAGGTACGTTCAATGCCCCCATCCACAAATGGGGAAAATTGTCATTTTGACCCCCTCTACAAAACAGTGGATTACTCATAAATATTCATCCATGACAAGTAATAGTTTGCCATTCATCACTGTATGTCTTTCTTCAGAAAAAAATATTAGCAAAATAAAAAAAATTGAACCAGGGAATATATTTTTTTTTTATTTGGTTGATTTGACACGAAATGACCCACTAATGAAGAAAAATAGCTGTGGTGCTTGACCCCAAATAATACAGACAAAACACATCAACGGAACTCAACTCAACAGCACAGTCGGTGATAGCATAGACACAGCATGTGTGCGATCCAGTCGTCCAAACGTAATGAGTATGAAACTTATAACTTCTAAACTAGCAATAAAATAACAGACTGAGATTGAGAATAAAAACTGTAGCATCAATTGTCAACAGCAAACCCAGCTAGTCACTGTCACTAAATGCTACCAAATGTAACAGGCACTGGAAGCAAATCTCAGATAAGGTGCAGAGTGAGTCCCAGTACAGCAATTAGGAAGGGCATAATCTTCAGTGACTGTGTTTCCATGCTTGAGTTTCTCTGGTTTGGAGTTGGTTTTTCAGGCTTTTCTGTAAGAAAAATAATAAAATAAAAAATTCTCTCTATAATGTAGAGAGAAACAATTCTGTAAATTTATCAGTAATGTATAGGTATAAAATCCTGCTATTACTGTGGTGTGCACTTTTAAAATTATATTAAACAAGGATTGCATGTACCTCTGACAAAAAGCTGTATTTTCCTTTTCTCATTTGTCTTTTGTAAAAAACAAGTGTAGATTCCTGCATGAGTCAACTCCAGATCTTTCAGCTCAATTGAGTAGTTTCCCTCAGGATACTCTGAAGGGAAACTTTCTGTTCGATTCCTGAATATTTCATCCTGGCTTTCTGGTGAGGGCTTTCCACTTATAATACTTACCACTTTCCTGCTTACATTGTGTCGCCAAAATACATCAGTACTTTGCAGTTTATATATGCATGGCAAGGTGACCGAGTCTCCAACAACACGATCAAATTTATTTGCAAAGTCCTGCAAAGACACTGGGGAAAAGAGCAACAGCTTTAATATAGGAAGCGAACAGCAACAGCACAAAACAAACTGAACCAAACATAAAATACATCAACAGATACACATATCTAAGGTCTGTGAATACTAACCTTTGCCTGTCAGATGTAGAAGTAAATAAATGACCCAGCATCTGCACAAAATGAGCATAAGCAAAGTTAATACTGGTATTTGATAAACACAGGCTACTTGCACCACCTATGCTTCTCGTCTAAATCCATGAACTAAGAATATTACTAACGACTAGGGGTGGGCGCTATACCGGTATAAAAAAGTGACTACCAGTTTTATGTTGTTCCATGATATGGATTTTGCTATACCGTGGATACCGTTATATATTCATGAATTCAAATTTTCATTTATATAGCTTTGTTCAATTTGGTACGCTTTGCAAATTTGAACACAAATAACAATAAAGAGTCGAGGCTGAACGTTTTTGTCCTCTGTGTGCAACACCTTACTACACAGGCATTAGTAATCAGTGTTGCCAACTAATTTTCAGGGGAAGTTACTAAAGGAAGGTCGATTTGTTGCTAAAAGTTGCTAAATGACATTGTGATGTCATTGCACGATGACATTATTACATAATTATGACGCAAAATTACATAAAATCTCAGGAAACAAATATTTTGTGTTAATTTAGATTTGTTCATAAAATAATATAACGTAATATAATATTAAAATATAAATAACTGTATTTTTAAATACAACATTGAATTATTGTACACTTACACATTTTTGAACAATTACAATATAAGATTTGTTTTTATTAGCTAGTAAGTTTACAATAATTAAATTTTATGAACAAATCTAAATGAACACAACATATTTGTTTCCTGAGATTTTATGTAATTTTGCGTAATAATTATGTAATAACAATAACACAAATGTTTACAACATTGATAATAATCAGAAATGGTTACTGAGCAGCAAATCAGCACATTAGAATGATTTCTGAAGGATCATGTAACATTGAAGACTGGAGTAATGATGCTGAAAATTCAGCTTTGATCACAGGAATACAGTAGTCTATATGTTAAAACATTCAAATAGATCCTTTAAATTGACAATATTTCACAATATTACAGTGTTTACTGTATTTTTTAATAAATAAATGTAGCCTTGGTGAGCATAAGAGACTTTCCATTTGTTATTTTTAATTCACAAAAGAGTGACGATCAGGTCAACACAGAAGTATAGAAATTCTACATTGATAAAAAAAAAAAAAAAAAAAAATGGGGTGGGGGGGACCTTGAAAATATTTTTCTCTACAAAAGGGGGCCCGGCAGAAAACGTTTGGGAACCACTGGTCAACTCAAACACACAATATTTTATTTTATTTAATTCATACAGGCCTACCTCATTTTGCACGTATTCACTTTTTGAGAAAAACAATGGCACAATAAAAAAAAAAGACTTTACAGGTCTATGTCCAATCCCTCACTTTTTCTAATAATATAAGGTTAAAATATTTTGCCTGTAATTTTTTTTCTCATATCACAATATAATATCGATATCGCCTGGACAGTGTAAAATATTGTGATATGAATTTTAGCTCATATTGCCCACCCCTACTAAAGACAACATTTCTGTTTTAGACAAACATTTGAGTGCACAACTTCATAGCCATAAGTCATCCTTGTGCCGAAGATAATATTACACAGTGCCCTCCAGAAATATTGGCACCCTTTGTAAATATAAGCAAAACAAACTGATGATATGGGGGCAGTCGTGGCCTAATGGTTAGAGAGTCAGACTTGTAACCTTGGGGCAGGGGTGTAAATTTCGTCTAACAGTTGGGGGGGACAATAAACATAAAATTTCTCAAGAGCAATTTTTGAAGGGGACACAAACAATACAGCTAAAACTGTACTCGTAAGGATATGTATACACAGAGGAAAGCCTTACTACTATTAGTGTAGCAGGGAGACCGTGCCAAATTAGACAACTTCAAGCTGTTGTGGTAGCTAGGGCTGGGTATCGTTCAAAATTTTTCGATATCGATACCGATACCTTGACTTCAATACCAGTTCCTGAACGATACTTTTTTCGATACCAATTTTATGAAATCAATTTTAACAAGAATACATTATCTAAAAAAAAAAAACTTTGGTTTTATTTTTCAGCTTGTTGATGTTTATACAAACTCAAAGACTCATCTCCTGAGCCACTGCACAAAGGAACAAAATGTAACCAACACAATAAATCAGTGCAAAATAGTTTTAATAAAGCTCAAATAGTCTTCAGTTTACACATCTGTTAGGCTACATTTACACTAGTCCGTGTTAATTTTAAAACGCATAGCAGTTTTATGACAGAATCACTGTAT